AAACAAAACAAACAAAACAAACAAACAAACATTAGGATAACCCGTCGCCGCCGTCTCCGTTGAAAGGATCCAAGGTAAAGTACAAGCATCGGGCGGCTGCAGCTCGGGACTCGGGTCGGTCTCTTTAGCATTAGCACTGCCCCCCCCCTCACCACCACACCACCTCCACCTGTGTATTTACACCTGGGATGATGGGTGATCGCCCAAACCCGCCCAGGTAACGTTGTTTTATCAGCACGTGAAATGTGTTTTTTTTTTTTAAATTAAATTAAATTTGAGCTTTTTCGAAGCTAACGAGCTTAGCTGCTAACCTGGAGCTAACCCGCGATAGCCGCTAACGTTAGCCGGCTGAGCTGGAGCTAAAAAAAGCCGTTTTTTCTCGCACATTAAAGCTCAACAGCTGTGATAAAAGGCTGAATTGTGCGTGTGTGTGCTGTATTAAAGTGCTTTTCACCCTCCGAGGACACGGTTAGTGAACGGTGTGAGCGTTTTAATGCAGACGCTTTTGTAACGGCGCTGCTAACGCGGCTAGCTCGCTAACGTCAGTGAGGTTATCGCGCTGTCAACTATTTCTTTTCTTTTTCTGAATAAACTGCTGCTTTGCTGCTGCCAGGCCCTAAAACCATGGCCCCAGACCCCGCCAGCTCCTCCGTAAGGGCTGGTTTATTCCCCCCGATGCGGTCGCTGGCCTGCTTCGCTTCGCTTACATGCAGAGACTGTAAATGGATTTAATCTGTATTGTGATGTTTGTGAGGCAGAAGCTGCTGTCAGGGGATAGAAAGCATTGCTGACACACTGAGGTGGTAGAAACATTATTTTATTAAGTAAAGTCCTCTTAATAAGACTTAAAACATGACGTTTTATGTGAAATATTGGCATTTTTAGCCGCTCCAGGATTTGTTTTTGGGATTTTTGCTGCTTTAAATGTCTGATTTTTATAAAGATTGCAATGCAGGATGATATTTTTAGGGTTTAGGGAACTAAAATGCAGGAGAAAAGTGCATAAATTGATTTTAAAAAGCTTCCAGTGAGAATATATTTGCACTGTTTCTTAAACACACCTGTATCTTGAAGTCGCTGGCCTGCTTTGCTGTAAATGGATTTAATCTGTGTTGTGATGTTAGTGGCTGGTGTTTGTGAGGCAGAGCTGCTGTCAGGGAATATAAAGCATTGCTGACACAGTGAGGTTTTAAAAACACATTTTTTAATTAAGTAAAGTGGCGAACTACAGGGAGGTTGAGCTTCTCCTGAAAACATGATATTTTATGTGAAATATTGGCATTTTTAGCCGCTCCAGGATTTGTTTTTGGGATTGTTGCCGCCTTAAATGTCTGATTTTATAAAAAATTGCAATGCAGGATGATATTTTTAGGGTTTAGGGAACTAAAATGCAGGAGAGTGCATAAATTTCATTTAAAAAGCGAAAGCAACTTGTTCCAGCGAGAATAAAATTGCACTGTTTCTTGAACCCACCTGTATGTTGAACACTGGAAACAACCAGTTCGGTGACACACGACTTGTAAAATGTGCAGAAAAGTTGCAGTGACTAGA